AAACAAATATTTCTTGAACTAGCATTCAAAGTTCGTGTATTGTTGACTTACTCTTCAGTGCAAGCGCGAGATTTTTTATTAATATAAACTACATAAGTTTGTTGACAAATTATGCGCATCAGGGGTATGCCACTGGTTCAAAGGTTTGGCTGAGGGTACGAAAAGTAAAAAGTTTTAGAACCACTGGAGTAATGCCATGTTTTTACCTGTTACAATACTCAGTGTCGAAAGCTAACCAAACAAAAGGGGTGAAACAAATTAGTCATATTGTGTAAAAATACATAAGAGACTCTATCAGTAATCAGTGAGATTAAGTGCGGTAATAATGAGATTTTTGTGTGATTCACGTTATTAGAGACAATGAAACTCAGAAACATAGATCCACAAGAAACTTGGTACATAAACAGATGAGGAAAACGTGTTTAAAAAGTCTGTGGTATACGGAGCCCCCATTTGTAATTCTAGAGTTGATACGTTGAAGAATCATTCTGGCCCTTACCTCCTTTGGTGCTTGAACTGCAACGAAGTCGCTGTATATCTTCCGTGCTTTGGATGGCAGTTTGTTGGACCTTGTCTTTTTGAACTCTTCACAAGCCAACCAAAACTCAATATTTTCTTCGCTGAATTCTCTAGACAAAAAGGCCTTGAAGAGCGAGGAACCATCTGCAAAATTAAAACTGATGTTTAGGTTACTTCAAAACAACACATAATAGAAGACAGGTAGAAAAAAAGGATGTATATATATATACACTGAAGTGGCAAAAGAAGCCCTGGTTTCCAAAAACAATGGGATTATAAGTTTATTCAATTAAAATTTATTTATTTTTTTACGATTCTGCGTTCTTTGCAAGTTTCAAAGGTGAAGTAACAAACAAAAACATAGATAAGTTATTAATCAATACTACGATCCGGACTAAAATACATTGATTTTTATACAGTGCTACTCAAACTCGAGTTTCACAGCATTTATATATATATATAAATTTAAAAATATTCGTTGTTCACTGGAATGTAAAAAAAAAAGACTTTTTAAACGTGTACTTATTATTAAGCAAAAGGCTGCACAATAAACTGTCTGTGCTGTGCCCATCTTAGGGCTCGAATCCAGAATCTTTCCTCTAATTTTTACGAGGAAGCAATTTCTTTATATCGTTATTATATGATATTGAAATGATATTCAGCTGTACTTAGCATAGAGACACATGCATGTATATATATTAAATATACTTACTGTTTCTAAAATCTCTTGCTGAAATCACAAGTAAAGGGCTACCTGAATATTACTATGATGAATATTTTCACAAGTGAGGTTTAACTTGTTGTTGTAGAAGTATGAAGATAGCGGAAGTTAAATAGCAAAATTTAATATAACTATCGAAAGTTATTTATAAGGTGATGTTGATGACAATAAAATGTGTACTAAATAAATAAATATTAACCTGATACAAATGTCATTTGTAAAAGTGCAAAAAGACTGACTAACAGATAACACACTACTGTATAATGGTGTGAGTTGTTAAAACAGGTGACCCCTCCAGGCGGCCATGAATCACGAGAAAAATTATACACTTTATAGGCTATAACACAGCGTAACACGTGAACTTAAAAAGCAAGAAATAAAAATATTTGTTACTCTTAATTTTGGTTTTATTTACTCTTGAAACAAATAACCTTGAATCTGTTTTATTAATTTATTTATTTGGACTTTTTTGAAGACCAATTAAGTAATAATCATATGAGAGAACAGACTGCTTACATTTGCTTGCCATCAGTTCGTTGAAAGATTCCGCCCACTTTCCTGCTTCCTCAGGCGAAGGTCTTATTGTTGCCTGAATAGAACTGTCAGTATGTCTCCGACGCAAAAAACCGAGTCTCAGTTTCATGTCTTGTGCTCTGGGACGAAGAAGTACAGAAAATATGCAGATTATTCAGTTAAATAAATAAATCAAAATAAAAACAAAATTTCAAACTGACACGAAAAAAAGTAGGGTTCATATGAAGAAGACATGAAAATTTAGTTCAGCGTATAAAACAAAATTCCAACAGTTAAAAAACTGAATGGGGAGAAGCTAGTATGAAAATATTAATAAAAAAATAGTTCCATAAATTAAAATTGTACTGGGTGTTGAAAAAACCATGTACAAACAATTTAGGAGGAAAATTAATCAGGAATTTTTCAAAAACACCCATTTGATATTAAAAATGATTACTTCGGGACAGCCATTCTAACGCTATTGTATAAAATAAACAAACAAGGCTTATTTGAGCCACACAGCTGACTCATCAGTGATTATACTGGGCTAATACAGTTGAATTAAGCCAAGGCGAACAACCAAAAGTAGTGATTTTTTTGCTTGTAATTAAGCACAAAGCTACACAATGGGCTATCTGTGCTCTGTCCACCACGGGTATCGAAACCCGTATTCTAGCTTTGTAAGTCCGCAGATATACCTCTGTGCCACTGGGGGGGGGGGCGTAAAAGATGATTTTTACAGTTTGTAGACTACATATTAACGAGTTACCGATGTGCCTATATTCGTTTATCTTTTTTAGTTCATGGTTTGAGCGTGTCCTAACTTGTTGGTTAGTGTGATTGGCTGCGGAATCAGTAAGTCAAAGGTTCGAGCCTTGATATATTGCTGAACATGCTCCGTACAATCAGCTGTGTAGGTGTTATAACTGAGATAATCAATCCTACTATTCAGTTAAAATAGATATGTACAAACGTCGAGTTCTACAGACTGGTTTCATTCCCTCTGGTCAGCGCTTCTAAAGTAGGGATCGTTATGCCTGAACCTAGGGGTATCTGAACTGCTCGTTTGACCAATGTTTCGCTTAAAGGTGCTGTTTAGCTGTAAAATGCAAACTTTTGAGTGGTTTGTTTGGTTGGTTGGTTGTTATCAAACATAATGAGCTATCTGTACTCTGTCCACCACGTGTATCAAAACGCGATTTTTAGCGTCGTAAGCCGGTTTGTATTTTGTAATAAGAAAATATATCACTACTCTTAGTTGAACTATCTTTCGTTATCACCATTTTAATTCCACGCTCAGTCAATGCAAACCTCTTAAAAACATAACATATTGATTACATTAGCATAAAACAAGCGATTAAATGGTTACTGAATGTTGCAATTTTGAAACGGACACATCAAAGTTCTTGGTTTGAATTTAGCTTTTTTCTTCTTCTCAAATTTGCATGAAAGCAATGTTAAAATTTTTTGATTTGATCATAATACGTGAATATAAAACAAATCAGTTATGCAACGCAATTAGCACACATACACACACAAATTCTGTACGATTCATAAGGAATGCTTTCAGTACTTCGGACACATTTAAGATACAAAACTCAGAGGTGTTGTTATTAATTGCTTGCTTTCATTGTATTTTTATTCATAAAACTGTAGATGTATAAACAATACTTTGTAAGTGAATTTAAGAAGCACTCCAGTTTTTCGAGTTTTAACTTCATATTTTAAAAAGTTTGCTCCAGATCTGAAAATAATACACTTACAGGGACTTCCGGTGTTTTTTTCTGTCTTCCCCTTCTTCGAGTTCACAAGTCATGGCAGAACTAGAATCAGCAGATTTAGCTTCAGTAACATGCTAAAATAGAAGAAAAATATACACACACACATATATATATATATGAGCTTAGAAACTTTAAAATATATATATATACGTATATAGAACAAAATTTTCAGAATATAAAGATTGGTTGATCAAATAGAGAAAACAGGACAATGAAGCTTAAATTAAAGAATGGACTGCGCGTGACCTACTGGCTAACGGGCCCGAACTGTGAATCCGGTGCTCATTGTTCAGTATCTTTTTTCGTAAATATGCGCTTCGCGCCTTGGGGTAGTGGCTACTCTATAAAAAATAGAGTTAAATATTACTATTTGGTCAATTTGTTTCTTTGTTATGGATTTCGCGCAAAGCTACACGAGGGCTATCTGCGCTAGCCGTCCTTAATTTAGTAGTGTAAGACTAGAGGGAAGGCAGCTAGTCATCACCACCCACCGCCAACTCTTGGGCTACTCTTTTACCAACGAAAAGTGGGATTGACCATCACATTATAACGCCCCCACGGCTGAAAGGGCGAGCATGTTTGGTGGGACGGGGATTCGAACCCGCGACCCGCAGAATGCGAGTCGAGCGCCCTAACCACCTGGCCATGCCGGGCCTATTTGGTCAAATAAGAGTTAGTAGTGGGTGGTGTTACTTAACTGTCTTCCCTATGGTTTATCAGCTCAAAATTAAGAACTGTTATGCGCAGATAGCCCTTGTGTAGCTACGTGTTAAAATTCTATAACAAACAAACAGAGGATCTGCATAATGTGTCTGCATGCATAAAAAGTCAAGTCGTGTTTAGAAACAACTCTCTCAGATACTACGCTGTTTTACCAGTAGTTCTGAAACGGTTATTATTTAATTACAATTTATTCAATATTCAAAGCTTTTATTAGTTTGTTTCTGAATAAACAGACAAGTTTTAAAGCTGTAAATAATCCATTTCCCATGTTCTACCAAACAACAAGGCATAGCATCAACAAAGTAGTCTAGGTTGTTGATATGTTAATGAGGTTAAGCGACAGGTAGACAACCTATGAAACAACGTGGATCTTATTTGCTTTTTTTTTTACTGTAACCATAACCAAACTTCAACGTTTGCTATCTACTCCCAGGGAAAGAGTTCAAGTACTCTTAAACCACATAAAGATTTATTCCCAATTTTTGTAAAGGTCTCTCCAGCCCATTAGCTACGCTTCCTCAGAAGACTGGCTCTAATTAGAATCGCTCAAGACAAAAACCAACTCGAAGCAGATCGCTCCAGTCTGATTATAAGTGGTACTACATGATCACGAAACGCCGGAACGTACGGGGAAAATGACGTCATCAATATATCATGGGTTCTATTAGGGACAGTGTTGGCATGACAACAACATATAAAGTTTGAAAGTTGCAAGCCCAGAAACTGATTGGTTGCGATGAGACTTAATTCGTAGAATTACAAAAGTAAGTTTATATTTGTAGAAAATAAAAGAAACATACAAACTGGTGAATCAAATATACAGATAAGGTGGAGAAAACTGTTTTATGCGCTCATTCTCAGTTTTCTTTCACACTTTTAATATTTACAACAGTAAAAACAAAATTCAAATATCAAGTAATTTTAGAAGGTTTTTTTTTTCTGATGTAACCAATTTTAAATTAACCTTTATTGTCATATAATCTTATTTTTCATCTTAAATATTCTTTATTAGTTTCTTAAAATAAACTGCACACAAACTAAGCTCTAAATGATCATAAAAGGTACAATTTATTCTGTGATAATAAGAAGATTGGAATAACACTTTGTTTGTTTGTTTGTTTTTAATTATGCACAAAGCTACACAAGGGCTATCTGTGCTCTGCCCACCACGGGTATCGAAACCCGGTTTTTAGCGTTGTAAGTCCGCAGACATACCGCTGTGGCACTTGTGGAATAACACAGCAGCCGCCGAAGAAAAAAAAGTACCTGTCCACATGTCTTGCAAAAACATGTCTTGGGACAGTTTTAAAAACTTATTTGTTTCATTTAACCTTCTTTAATTCCTTCCTTATCGGGTATTTATCTTGGTAAGAAATGTAATACATTAAGTTTTCTTTCTTCCTTTCTGGTTTTTCGCGCAAATTTACAGAAAGGGCTATCTGCGCATAGCCGTCACTAATTTTAAAGTGCGCTCGAAGCGAACTCCGTTTATCTGACCGAATAATGGAATTTTACCGTCATTCTTATAGCACGCCCACGGCTCTTAAGTGCAACGGAAAACGAAACAAGAACCTTCTGAGCAAAAGTCCGGACACACAGCCACTCCCGGCCCCTTCCATAGAATATAGCTACTCTTGAAAGGCTTAAGGAATCAAAATCAAGGATTTCGTGCAATGTAATTTATATACATAATAAAACACAAACTAACCATAACAAACTATTACGCTAATTACAATTGTCTATTTATTTGTGTTAGTGAGGATATTCTATTTCACGTTGCTTATGAACAAGTACACGAGCAAAACGTCTGACTATAAAGTTAACCTTTTTAATATCATAGAGCGCTCTGTAATGTTACCTTTTGTCCAAAAATCAGCATAATAAACACCGTATTATCCTCTTACTACAAAACCAGTACAGTAAATACTGTTCGCAATACGCCAGATTATCCTCCGATCACAAAACCAACATAACATATACGTTCGCACTACATCATATTATCCTCCGACCACAAAACCAACATAACATATACGTTCGCAATACGCCATATTATCCTCCGACCACAAAACCAACATAACATATACGTTCGCAATACGCCATATCCGACCACAAAACCAACATAACATATACGTTCGCACTACGTCATATTATCCTCCGACCACAAAACCAACATAACATATACGTTCGCAATACGCCATATTATCCTCCGATCACAAAACCAACATAACATATACGTTCGCACTACATCATATTATCCTCCGACCACAAAACCAACATAACATATACGTTCGCACTATGTCATATTATCCTCCGACCACAAAACCAACATAACATATACGTTCGCAATACGCCATATTATCCTCCGACCACAAAACCAACATCATAAATATTGTTCGTACTACGTCATATTATCCTCCGACCACAAAACAAGTACAGTAAATACGTTCGCAATACGCCATATTATCCTCCGACCACAAAACCAACATCATAAATATTGTTCGTACTACGTCATATCATCTTCTGACCACAAAACTAACATAATAAATAATGTTTGCATTACATCATATTACCCTCCGATCACAAAGTCATTAATGCAAGTAGTGATTACACTATGTATTTATATCAGCTGACTCAATTTCAGGACCAGACCTACGTAATGTTGCCCTCTGACTACCAAACCTGCAAATACTGTTAACACTGCGTAATGTTACTTTCTTACCACAAAGTCAGCACGACTTAATGTTATCCACTTAAGTAACATGCATCACCTTCGAAAAACAACACCATCTATGTTTGTAATGTTGCCCTCTGACTACCAAACCTGCAAATACTGTTAACACTGTGTAATGTTACTTTCTTACCACAAAGTCAGCACGACTTAATGTTATCCACTTAAGTAACATGCATCACCTTCGAAAAACAACACCATCTATGTTTGTAATGTTACCCTCTAATTTCATCTTCTGACAACAAGATCATCTTTGTTAATACTGTTAACACTGTGTAATGTTACTTTCTTACCACAAAGTCAGCAC